CCGCCGCCGCCGCACGGGGTCACCTGAAGGTTGGGACGCGCGGGCTCAACTCCGCGCTGATTGGGCTCCAACTTTTCTGCGTCCTCTTCCCGCGGCGGCTCCTTCTTCCTCTTCTTCGGCTACAAGTCCAGGGAAGACCCACCGCGCACCCCACCAACTCCTGTCTGCCTGGGGCTGGGGACGGGCCGGGGCGCGGAGGAGGGAAGGGGCGGGGGAGCCGAGGGAGGGAAGGGGGGGCACCTCCAAAACTTGGAAAACTGTGGAGTCGCTCGGCCTCCAGGGGGGTTTTGCTGAGATCGTGGCTCGGCGTGGAACTTCCTCCCCGCCTGGCCTCGCCCACCGGCAGATCGGCCAAGACAGCTCAATTCGTATCAGGAACCAGGATATTTTAAGTGGGAGGGGGGGAAACCAAACCCAGTCAGCCCAATCCACCCACTGCCTGCCCGTTTTGTTCCTTTGTGTATTTTTTATTATTATTAATAGTTTTAATGGGCCCGTCTCTCTTTTTGTATTACATGAATGGTTGTCTGACTGAATATAGTTACGGGAGCTAATTTCGTAATGGCAGAGGTCCTACAGCTCTCCAAACCTAAAAATATGTATCATGCATGTATTCTCTATTATTATTTTACCATCCAGAATAAAAAAAAGTTGCACTACTGCTGGGGATTGGGGGCGTGGCTGAGTTGGTACAGCGCCAGCCAGTGAATGAAAGCATCAGGTACCAAGTTCAAGTCCCGGTCTCAGACCTAACTAACAATAACAACAATATCCGTAAGTCCAGAGCTATAGCTGCACTTTAAATTCCCACCTCACCAACCACCGTATCTACTTCAGGCATACAACCCCACACCTAAGTCTCAGCCAATGACAGGCAACCGGGTTTTAGCCAATCAGGAACAACCAAGTCATCCCATCTTCCCATATAAGGCAGTCACTCAGCTGTAGCCAATCAGGTGATAGTTCTTCTGAGGGCGTGGCTGAGTTCCCCTGCTTATAAATAGTTGGTGCTCACACTCCTAAGAAGAGTTCCTCCAGTATTTTCTAATTCGGAGTGCGGCCACATTCACAAGTCTCCCTTTGTGCAAGTAGACTGCTCAGTTTACCTTGCCTCACCCTTTTCCTTTATCATTGCTAAATGCTTGTGTCTCCTCAAAATTCTTTTGTTGAAGCCAAGCCCTAATCCCCAGAGCGTTGGTATATGGAGGTTTGAGAGAGAATCAGATCCTGAAGGGTGAGTGTCTGGTGATGGGGTTCCAGTGCTCTTAAGAAAGGACAGTAAACCTTTTGATTTCTGTATGCCCGCTCTCTGCCCGGGCACAGCCAAAGGCCAGCTATCTGCTAAACAGAAAGTGGGTTCTCACCAGAACCTGATCGTGCTGGCATATCTTGATCTCTGACTTAGCCTCCCGGGACTTTGAAAGTAAGTTTCTCTTGTGTCTGTCAGGGGTTAGAGAAGTTTCTATTGTGTAAGTCTTGGGCTATATGTTTTGGGGAAAGCAGGAAGAACTACAGATTCAGATTCCTGGTTTAAGCATGTTGACAAGTATCTCATTTATTGACTAGTACCTCATTTCTTCCAGGAGAGTGAGCCAGTGACAGTGTGACTCTCCAATTATTTTATTTAGAATAAAGTTTCCTCGTCTTTCAGTGCTAAGCTCTCCTGTCTACACATGGCTTCCCCAAAGCCCCTACCCAGCAAGCTTCCTAGGTTATATCACTAACTGGGCTCTTGAGGAACATTAATAAAACACAACTTGCATAGTGGTTATTTGAAGTCTCACTAAACTAATCGTTTTATGTTTTTGAATGGATTTTTTTTCAAAGCAACACTCCACCATCTTGAGAGAACCTTGATTTAAAAAAAAAGTCTTTTGAAAAAGTTTAACCATTAGAAGAGCTTTAACGGGTCAGGTGGCAGTGGTTCACACCCATAATCTTAATTACTCAGGAGTCTGAGACATGGAAGATGAAGAATCAAGGCTACCCCAGGAAGAATAGCTCACTAATCTCCATCTCCAACTAACCAGCAAAAAGCAGAGCTGAAGGTATGGTTCAATAGGTATACCAGCCTAGCAAATGTGAGGACCTGAGTTCAAAACCTAGTACCACTATCAGAAAAGGAAAGAAGAAAAAGTTTTAATGAGTTAACTTTATGGAATTACTCCCAAAGTAACAAAATAGTTATATATAAACTAGTTTGATGCTCCCAAGTAAGCTTCTTAAAGGCACAAGGTCTTAAACTGGAAGAAACTAATGGAAAACCTAATAGTTTACACATCTAATCAAAGCTGTCACTACTGATTTGTCAGAAGAAAAAGAACAACATATGCCAAGAAGAGAAATACAGGCTTCCTAGTCCCTCCTTGCTAAAATATATTTGGTTGCAAACAAATCAGAACTTTGCGCACAGCGGTTGATCAATAAATGTTGGATCAATGAATAAAAACACTCCAGAAGTAATGCTGCTCTTAGAGAAAATTGAACAAGAAGATGGAAAAAAATGTGGCAAAATTTGATTTCCTTGTATTGCTCACCACTGTTGTTAAAAATAAGTACTAAGGAAAGGTTGCTACTTTTATGTAAGACTGATGATTTTAGGGCTCCAGTTGCTTATCTGTATATGACATAACAAGAAAATGTTATATTCTCAGAGAACTAAAATAATATAGTAATACAAATCTACATAGTTGGGTTCAAGCCCTCTGCTAAGTAAACGTGTATGACACAATTATTTTGTAAATGGAGAAGTCTGGATTTAGAAGATATTCTGAATTTTCTCTCATTACAGAAGGATTGTACAGACAACGCTTGCTAACGGAAAGGGCATTATCGTAACAGCCAGGAAGCTGTAATTTCACCTAATTTACTAAAGTTTAATATTTCAGCACAGCTTGGCTCTAGGCAACAGCAGGAGAGTAAGCCTTGCACTAAGTTCCCTAAAAACCCTGGCTGCAAATGAAGTTACTTTTTATCAAGCCATTGGCTATGGCAGTGGGGTTACTCACAAAAGCCCATTTTAATTGGAAAGCCAAGGATACATTTGCAACAGGAATTCAGAGCTGGGTATTAAAATTTGACAGTAGGGAACTTTATCATAGGCTCTGTAATTTAAGACTATGATTAGTAAGATATAAATAATCTTGCTTATCCTTGAGAGAAAAAAGCCCTAGCAAAAATATGAGGTCTTAAATATTCTTAATCACAGAGCCAAAACCAAGATACTGGTCATTTGGTGAATTCATATTAGCAAGTTTGACGAGGAGCCCCAAAACATCTATGCCATGTAGAATCTGAGATATTGCAGAGACCACGATGGAGACATGAACCAGTTTATAAAATTTCTTTTAAAAAAGCTAATGGTCGGGGCACCAGTGGTTCACACCTATAATCTATCCTAGCTGCTCAGGAGGCTGAGATCTTAGGATCACAATTCAAATCCAGCCTGGGCAGGACAGTCTGTGAAACACTTATTGCCAATTAACCACCAAAAAGCTAGAAGTGGAGCAGCACTAGCCTTGAGCCACAAAGCTCAGGGACAGCACCCAGACCCTCAATTCAAGCTCCAGGACTAGCACACAGAAAAAAACAAACAAAAAAAAACCATGATCAGGTGGACAAATAGAGAAATAGCAGGTGACTACAGTAACTTAACATATTTATGTTAAATGGAACTAGAGTGCTTACAGGGATGGGTGTGGTTGGGAGAGATGGCAGGGAGAGAATGATGGACAGGTTGACACTGATCAAGGCACACTGTACTCATAAACTGTCAAGTTAATTGAAACCCCTTTAAACAACAATTTAAAGATTAGATAGATTTTTAATTTAAAGCTATTGGGAAATTTGATTTATTGAAAAAAATGTCCAAATAAGTGAAAAATCTTCCTGAGAGTTGAAGCTATTTCTGATTTTTTTTTTTTTTTTTGGTTCCGGTCATGGGGCCTGAACTCTGGGCCTGGGCGCTGCACTGTCCCTCAGCTCTTCAGCTCAAGGCTACCACTTGTGCCACTTCCGGCTTTTTGCTTTTTGCTTATGTGGTGCTGAGGAATCAAACCCAGGGCCTCGAGCATGCAAGGCGAGCGCTCTACCACTCAGCCACCTTCCCAGCCCCTATTTCTGATTTTTTATGTGAGGCTTTTTACAGTCCAAACAAGTGACTTTCAACTAGAGCAACAAAAAGATTCAAGGAAAAGCTAGAAATATGTGATTTCCATAGGTATGGATGGTTGGGGATTCATGAAGATGAATGCCAAATGTTGAGTCAGTTTTATGTGTGTGTATATCACACACACAATGTTTACATAGGTACATAATACACACATATATCTACATCTATCTGTATACAGACACAGATATCTCTCTAGTATATATGATTGAAAATCTTCAGTATAAAAAAAAGAAGGAATGCTGTGAAACATTCAGAAAATTAATGCATAACGAATGTTTTCCTTCATTGGTGTGACTTTTTTTTTTTTTTACTTCTCTGCCT